TATTCAAGCAAGCTTTCTTTATCGACCCATTCCAGCCCTCTGTTACTCTTACTCCTCATCACTTATACAAGGACAAACTTCATCTGCATTGCAGCTGGCACGTCTTGTACACAAGATCACTATTTTTTCTCGGAACAAATCGTATGATAATAGGCTTTTTAAAGGAGTCAAATAAGTTTAAACTTATCATTAACTTCTTATTTGGCCCTTGAATAATATGATAAGATAGCCCAAGTATATAAAGAAAAAAAATCGCGCATGTGCATCTCTAGTCCTTAATCTGAGTAAAACCGTTTAAATCTTTTAATGAGAATTTGTGTACCGACTAATAAGATTTCTCATTCATTCTATATAATTTATTATAGCTATTCTGCAAATTCCAGATTAAAGGCCATTTTTATGGCATAGTAATTCGCTTACTTTGTCAATAGTTTCTGCATAACTAATGCTGATTTATGCATCAATGATAATGAGAATACTTTCCTTCATTAATAATTTTGTTTATAACAAAATCCCCAGTTTATATGCAAAGGAAAGCATTTACATTGAAAAAACCATTTTCACTTGGTTTCGAAGTTAGACCAAATTTGGTTTTGAAAACTCACAAAGCCAATATGCTGTGTTAATAATAACTGTGAGCAAACATGTAGTTTGTAAGTTGAACTTCATAATAATAAAGCATAAGGATAATAAAGTTGCTTCAAATATATAGTACACTTATGAGAAGATAGTATTCATTTTCGACAATGCACTATTTGGGAATACTTCCACTCGTATATTATTTTCTTGGTTGTGAAATATCGGTAAATAATAGATATAGCAAGCTGAGGAATATATTGCCATAAAATAGCTCTATTCACGCGTAACATCTAAAATTGACAGCAAATCAAAGAACGTAGTAAGTTTCTCTTCATTACGATGGACCATTGTCAAGAGGGCTTGGATGTTGCCAATGTGTTTCTTTAATTCCGGCACTAGGTGACGCAACCAGTCGACTGTTCTCTGATTAATGACCGTGACCTTTTCTCGCGTCGGCTCGTTGATGGCTTGCCATGCATCCATATCTGTTAGGTAGTCTAAAGTCTTAGAGAAATTTTGAGGAAACGCAAAGAAGTCATTTGCCACGATCCGTATAATTGAATCTAAGTGTTCAAAAGCAGAAATATAATTTTCCATTAGATCCAACTGATGAAAAAAATCCGTCAAATTGACGAAGCTCTGTGATCCCATTTCGAATAGAAATATATCTTAGGTGTAGAGAACTGAATAAAAATATCCATCCATTTAGGTAACGGAGCATGTTTTCAGCATGTTCTATCTGTTTATGTTTAAAAGGAGGATCAATATGAGGCAGAGTTTGGCTGATTAAGACTAAAATAATGCCTTAAACAACATAAGATGAATGTACCACATATCGTTCCTTCATCAGTTCCTATTTACGATCTGCTGGAAATATCGAAACCTACTCAATCTGAATATGAGTAACCTAGTCGATTTTAATAGCAAATATATATGTTTTCCTTATCAATAATACCATCATGCAAGAGCCCTTTCTAGCCTTGAAATTTAATTCTGCCTTGATGGT